GGTAGCTTACGTGATGCTTAATAAAATTATGTGACAATTATGACAAATATGGATGTAATTTGCATAATTTATGGGGAAATTCTATAAATCAGCTGCATTCCATGATAGGACAATTGAAGCTTGTGACATTGGTAATTGACAATGAGAGAAACACAGGCAGATATTGATTATGTTAATAATGACTTAATTTGCATAATTAATGAGAAAATTTTATAATTATGTAATAACTGCCTGGAATTTCATACTTGTGGTATTTGAAAGTTAAGTTGAGGTGAACATCATTAAACATAATTTATTCAAATCAGGACCTCATTTGCATAATTTATTAGGAAAAACTAGAATGCATTGTTTGTTAATATAAGACTGTCTTTTGGTTTTGATTATGATAAAATGATATAATTCATGAAAATTAGGTTCCTATTTGTTAAATCAGGGGGGAATAATCTAATGTATAATTTGTCAGTCATAAAGATTAACATCGCATTTGGCGAAGGTATGAGATCGGGGAACTCTAGTTTGCTTATGTTTTCGATAGTTGTTTCTACTGTTTTCACCAAAATGTCATAAGTCTCTTTTGTTTTGCTTGAGAATGTTATGTAGCCTCCCAGGAATTTCTCCGGTGCGTCTTTAGTTGTTTTAACAGGGTCTCCCGCGATCGTGAAGCTAATGTCCGTTGATTTGCCGCTCACGATAGACATGGACTTACACTTGCGTGGTTTCAACGATAGGTTCATTGACTTGGTGTTGGAGGATATTTGAGTGATGAGTTTCTGGTGTTGTAAAAATAGTGATTATTACATCCTGGCATAGATTATGTTAATGTGACACAGGACCATACTATTTTCGGGGGTGCTAGGACATTGTTCAGACTTCCGTCAACATTTCCGTAGCGATATATGGTAAATCACTTCCTCGCTGGATGTAAATTACTCCTTTGTATTAAAAAAAGCCCGTAATCTAAAGCGAGGGTTCATTGCCAATGTTCGGAAAAAATGCATTGCGGTTTGCTGCCCTCCTACCAACCGCGAACGTTCATCACATGCAGTTTACGCAGGAAATATGGACAATATGCCGTTTCAGTAAATAACCTGACATCTAAAATTGTTGAAATATTCACAGAAACTCAAATTACACTCTAGGTTGACCGTCTAATCGCGTGGTAAGCTACATGTGTGCTGTATAGTGACATGAATTGGCACTTTTGTGGGGAGGGGGGCGTCCCAACAAAGGTCAACGACCTCCATGGCTTACGGCCTATGTTTCACGCTTTTGCACTTCATAAATGAACAATTTTAGATGTCAGGTTATTTACTGAAACGGCATATTGTCCATATTTCCTGCGTAATGCTTAGGTCACATTTGAAACGGCGCCCGTTCGGCATGTCCTCGGCGTAGACGCCGGCCGGCGTCATGACGCCGAGCGTGCGCCGTACTGTCAGGGTCACAATTAAATGTTCCTTTACGGCTCCCTGTCGGGGCCTGCTTGTGCTCCGGCCGGCGGCTCTCATTAATATTCATAAACTTTTGCGGCCGGTTTCTGTCAGGGACCCGTCCGGTGCCCGGTCAGTCGCCCGTCTTGACCCGTGCGGCGTGTGGTAGGGTGCCGACCGGCTCTTACAGTTCGGCCGGGCAGCTGTCAGGTCCCTGGCGGGTTCCTGGCGGGATCCCGACGGGCTCCTCTCGTGTTTTTGAGCAGGTACATATATAAGCGCTGCACTGCCTGCTACAGTTCACTTCAAGTAAAGAGTACACGTCAAGTAAAGAGTACACTGATGTTGGCGATGCAGCGTTCAGTGCAACCTGCAAACAACTTACAAGCCCGTCTGAGGTTGAGATTGGTGACAACCTACATGTAGGTCTTCTGGCATTGGTAGCTGAAGAAGAGAGGCAGGCAGAACTGGTGCGTCGCAAAAGTAACCGAGGGCCTACTTTCGAAAGTACTTCAACAGTGACGCAGGAAGTACTTCAGCAGTGACGCAGGAAGTGTGACGTGGCAGCTCCTTGCTATTGAGCAATAAAACCACTGAATATTGTTACTTCTGTTGAAATTTGGACTGAAAATAAATGCCAATAACTTCTGATTCCATTTTATTACGAAGGCATATGATGTAACAAGAGATAATGTCTATTCCTGTTATGATCTGATTTATGAAGTTGGCAAGAGAGCCGTGCCGGCTGTTTTCCCTTGCCCTTCGACATTCTGACACACAAATACAAGGTGTAACACACACAAGTACACGAAGTAACACACACGTGGTGAACTGTGCGACGTAGTCTGAGGCAGGAGTTTATATATGCTCCCTATAATCCCCTTTTCCTGACCATCTGATGCACTGATCAGCACATGTGACGTCATAATCTTAGGCAGGTGCCTGTTCGGCCGCCCGACGGGTCCCGGGCAGTGAGGTTACGGCGTCGCTTCGGCGTATTTCGCCGAACGGGGCCCGAAGTGTTTTTAACTCTGAGTTAAAATCGATTCGGCGACCGCGCGGGGCCAAAAATAGGCCGGCAGCCGTCGGGAAGCCCCCCGGTCTCCGTCCAGGTCCCGTTCGGTAGTGCCAAAAAACACGCCGAACACGCGCCGAGCGGGCCCCTTTCTTGAATTGTGACCTAAGCATAAACTGCATGTGATGAACGTTCGCGGTTGGTAGGAGGGCAGCAAACCGCAATGCAAAACAAAAAAACTTCGCGAAGTACACACAGACACGTGCTGTGTGTACTCCGGTATGCTTACCTGGTGGGTTCTCAGTGATCCCGCCGGGTAGAGCGGTATTTTTATCGTCTTGTACGATTTATCGTTTTGTGCGCCCTTCATTGGGTTACTATTTTTTGTTTGGTTCGGTCTACCATAAAAAAGACCCATAGAAAATAAAAGTGTCCATAGAAAATAGAAGTACCCATAGAAAATGGAAGTAACCCATAGAAAATAAAAGTGCCCATGGAAAATGAAAGTACCCATAGAAAATAAAAGTACCCAGAGAAAATAAAAGTACCCATAGAAAATAAAAGTACCCATAGAAAATAAAAGTGCCCATAGAAAATAAAAGTACCCATAGAAAATAAAAGTAACCCATAGAAAATAAAAGTGACCCATAGAAAATAAAAGTGACCCATAGAAAATAAAAGTGGCATAAAAATATTAAGTGTACTTAGGGGCCACTGTACATAAGCTACCCCATGCTGTATCTGCGTCCAATTTTGTTATCTTTATGCTGTATTTTACTACTGTTTACTGGTCATCGATTGTACTGTATTATGTGTTTATTGTAACAAACTACCCAATTCAAGGAGACTTGTGTCTTTCCCTGCATATGTATGCTTGCGGTTGGAAAACCAATAAAGACGTCGTATCAATTCATGGCAAAACATTGTGTTTCATAACTAACCAAGGTATTGAGGTATTGTGATGAGCATTTCTCTGTGCAAGTTGTGGTCAGGCATTATGTAAGCAGTAGATGATGTTATGTCTGATGTGTCAATGTTTATGTTTTACTATAAGGTATTTCATACTCTAAGGCCACACCAATTTAATTTCTTGGTTAACGGATTTTTCTAGAAAGATATTGGGGCGGGCGGGCAAAAAAATAAATAAATAACTAGAGTTCGATGATCTCATACCTCCATGACATGTGTATTGTTTTCATAAATCTTACGCATGGTGATGACCACCTGTAATTGGCTTACATTTTTCACCGCATATATTCAAATCATATGAGGCCATTTGCATATATTGTATCAATTGATCATACTCTCCACCAAATGACAGGGTTATCTTAAGAAATAAGGCTATTCTAGCGTTTCCTCATAAATTATGCAAATGAGGTCCCGATTGACATAAATTATGTTTAGTGATGTTCACCTTCACTGAACTTCCAATTATGGCAAGTATTAAATTCCCAGCAGTTACTACCATAAAATTGTACCAATTTGCCATTTATTATGCAAATTAGGTCTTCCTTTACATAATCGATATCTGCCAATGATCTTGTCGTTCTCACTAACATATGTCTATAGAGTTTTATAGCCCTAATATGAAATACATCTTATTTATAGAATTTCCTCATTAATTATGCAAATTAGATCCTGATTTGCATAATGATATTTTGATTATGTCAAGCATCACTTAAGCTACCTACATACCAAAAATCATGATGATCCATCAAACGGTTGTTCAGTTATCCTCTCTCGAAGATTTTCAAAGAAACCACCCTGCAGTTCCAGAACAAGCCGCTAGGGGAACCAAACTCACGTGACTTCTTTCCGAGGACAAGAGCTACCTTCCATCCAAATTTCATGACCCTAGCATGTCCAGATCGCGAGATATCAAAACCGGAAGTTGCGCTGCAGTACCAAGGGAAGCCACTAGGGGGCCCAAAATCTAATCATTTCCAGTTTTCGTCACACCCTACCAACACACCAAGTATGAAACCAATCCATCTAGGCGTTCTTGAGTTATCTTGTTGACCAACAGACTGACAGACGGACAGACAGACAGACGGACAGATAAACGCAACTGAAAATATAACCTCCATGACACATTTCATGGAGGTAAAAACAGGCCTAGGCATCCTATTATGGCCCAAAATGGTACAATAGGAGCCATGAAGTCAACACACCAGGCTGGTTCAAAATTTAACAATGAATTTTGAACTTTTAATGATACCACGACATTGAAAGATGGAATAACTGTAACAACTATAAAGAAAGGGACTGTTTTCAACTGTTCAGGGCAAAATATGAGCATTTTGTAGTTGATTCTTAATTTTTATTTTTATTTGCAAATCATAAAAAAATGAAGCGGGCGAATCCATTACCAAGAAATTAAATTGGTGTGGCCTAATAGTGGTTTACAGGTTAGAAATTTTCATTTGGTTGCCCTCAAGTGTTTTCAATAAAATTCTTTCAGCCCCTTTAGTTGTACTGTTTTAAGCTGTACCAAATACTACATGTAAACCTAGAGAATCTAGCTGGTTAGATAAAAAAAGATACAAGGATAAAAATAGTGCTTGAACATATTTAATGCAGTCATTTTGGTGTACCTTAACAACTTAATCTGCAGATGTATCACCCTGGTACATCTGTATAATCCCAAACTTACATGTTCAAGATTTCTGTCACCTTCAAGATCAAGATCATGTATGATGGATAATGGCATGCCCAATATTCTGGAGTTATATTGTATTAAAGAGCAGACAATACGATGTATATCCCGTTAACAGTACAATCATAGTGTACTAGGAAGAGGAATTCTAACATACACTGTACACGTGTTCAAGGTACATGTATCGACAATGATGCACTTGTCAATGGACTTAGGTGTATCACTATTGGTATGTAATTATTATTATTCTTGTACGCTCTGTGTAATGATTCCTATTGACAAGACTTTATGTTCCAGATCTAAACAGTGCATGTATGACATTCGGTCAAGCTATAACTGTACTATGGGGTCACTCAGTGTGTCTACATGTACTAGTCTTGTATATACTTGCTTATTATAAGTGCAGGTTTTCCTTAGCATTTCAAATCACCATGACTCCCCAGAAGATTTCTACTGGTTTATCACAACTTCAGCATGGCTGATCCATCCTTTTATTTATATTATCTTTTTGAGACCATAGGCATTTATGTAATTGTTACTACGTGTAGAATGTGTTTTGCAAGGCTGAGCCCATCTCTATACATTGTACTTCCACCACAGGCATCATAATAACTGAAGTCAGATTACACATGTACATTGTACACCTGCATGTGCAGACAGGACACAACATCTTGTCAGGAATCAAACTCATTGCTGCTAGCGAAACCACTCTCCTATCACTGCCACTGCTTTATAACTTAAAGTACATAAAATCCAGTTTGCTTGATGGACTGACAGTTGTTGGTTTTGAAGTATTACACTAATGAAACTAAGCTGCAACTACATGTACATTGTATACTCGGTCCTCTCTCATTTCATTGCTTGGCATCAGCGGTATAGTACTGGTTCATTGGTTGACTGAAGCCAAGATGCTGCTGACAAACGTGTCTGTACTCTGTACCTCTCCCAGCAAGCCTGATAAACAAACAAACAAACAAACAAACAAGTCAGTACTCAGACTAAAGAACACTTCAACACAGGTTGAGGAGATATTTTTCATCCACCACAGCATATAGAATGAAATGGGATGTGTAAGCTATTAAACATTATCTTGGAATAAATGGAGCACATTGTTTTGAAAAGTATGTCACGTGTTTCAATATAATTCAATAAAATAACAGCCAACAGATTGAATTCAAACTTTAAGTACTAAATGAGATCATGATATCAATCATTGAGATGAATCCTTTCCACAGTACAAATGGATTGGTGACTTACCAACTACATCTAGATACTCCATAACAGACTCAGCAGGTAACATCTGCTCCAGGTATTTCTCCAACAGCTAAAAAGACAGCAGAAAAAATCATATGCATACAATGTACATGTTCAAAAGCAGATCAGATTCATTTCTTGATATGGAAAGTGTGGACATACTTATATAGTATACTAGTATGCTACATGTATATTATACATGCATGAGAACAGCACAGATTTTCAAAAACTTCATAATCATGAATAAAAGTTCATGGTATCACTCATTACCAATTTTAAGCTGACTACAAAGACATCACTTTCCTCAGAACATAATGATGCAAATATATGCAAAATTAATAGCTGACGAATGTCCAAACAGGTGCAAATAGACATCGTGAAGTTTTGAAGTAGATCATTTACATAGTTACAAGCATGACTCTCATAGTTGACAAAGTGCGGTAGATGGTGCAGTGTGTGAGGGTGCATACTGTACCTTGTCTGCTGCCTCTAGAACATGTTGGTCATTGGAGCGGACATAAGCAGCTAAAGCTTTGGACCAATCCTCAGGTTGGGCCACCTCCACCTTCTGTCAGCCAACACAGATACAGTCATGACTACACGGTGTTCGCACTCAACATGCACATATTCATTAAATAATTATTCTTTTTTGTAAAGTATTTGTTTGTGGCTAAAGATACAGCCAAGACTGCCCAACTAGCACAGGGCTATTATAAAACTAAAGGCAGCCTTGAGGCTAAAACGAGGTATGTTAGCCAGGCCTAAGGTAATTTGTAGTGGACCATTTTTGTATGTTGGTCCATCGCACACCAAGGCATTCCCAATTTTTTTTAAAGGTCTCTTTGGTGGGTTCTTTAATGTGAGAGGGGTCTGGATCTCCCCAAACATAGGACCTCCTTTTAACTTCCCATCCAAGGAACGTCTGAAACTAGGTACTACATTAATTTTGTAATTGAGTGAAGTCCATAATTCTGTATGGTACAATAGGAGCCCAACGGCTGCAGGGTGCAGACCAAAGTGGTTTTTGCTTCTTCCATGGCAACAATCATTATATACTACCCTTTATTGATGAGCTTTTCCAGGAGCCTTTCCTCTTAAGATTATTTATGAACATGATATTAAAATATATGTGTTGACATGTAAGCTCATTAGCTTGTCCTCAGATTTTGTGACATAAACCTACATGTAGGTCTGACTTATCATTTGCATGACACAAGACAGTTAGTACACAAGACATTACCTGCAGCATGTTGTAGAGACAGTCAATCAGTCCAAAGTACATCAGGACAGGCTTGTACACAGCAAAGCTCTGCACTTCTACACTGGGCAGTCTGTGGAGAAAAACATCAGTCACTCCAGCTACCAGGACTTCAGCTTGGTACAACAGTCTATGTTTTTTCAGTGGCCCAACATGTACACTGTATATGAATTATACATTGAATTTTACAAAACAGTTCCCAGACATCAGAAATCTTGGATTTCTTCAGCCTGGTTACCAGACCTACATTTTAGCTCCCTAGTCTTTATCATCTCAGGCTATGATTTATTGTTACTGTTACATATTATTAACTATTTTACATTCTGCCCTTTGGCGTAATATGCCAGCTTTGCAGGCATGCGGCATGGCAGCTGTTTATATTACACCGAACCACTTGTTACACCTGACCCTTGAACATCCAACCCTAAACTTTGTTTAAAGCTGTCTAATGATAATACCCCTACTGTACTTGGTGACAGCGAGTTCCACTCTGCGATAGTGCTAGGAAAGAATGAGTTTTGAACACCTCAATCCTTCAAGTTGGTTGATAACTCTGGTATTCTTTTCTGAGCTGGTATAAGGTACATGTACTTATTAGTTGGAATGTCCACCAGTTTATTTGACATTATTCTATGAATGCAGCTTGATCCTTCACCTGCTGGTTCCCCCTGGTGCCAGGTGTCTGGCTTGAGCTAGAACAATCAGCATGCTGAGGAACTGCAGACGGACTTCCTTCCACCGCTCTGGAGACAGGATCAGCAGGGCCAGGAGTGTCAGGTACAGGGGACCATCAACCTGGGGACACGGGGGGACAGGTTAAAAGGAGGGAATTCGTTGTGTGTGTGTAGGCAAGAATACATTATTGGCATGTTAAGATGCAAGAATGTGTGTGTGTGTGTGTCTGTGTGAGGACTGTGTATGTGTGTGTGAGGAAAGTGCGTAGGGAGGGAGGAATGTGTACATGTGGGGGAGGAATGTGGGGGGAGGAATATGAGTGTGCATGTAGGGGAGGTATGTGTATTTGCGTGGGAGGAATGTGTGTGTCCAATGGGAGGAATGTGTTTGTGTGTGGGAGGAATGTGTGTGTGCATGTGTGTGTAGGGGAGGAACGTACATGTATGTGTGTCCAGTGGGAGGAATGTGTTTGTGTGTGGGGAGGAATGTGTGTGTAGGGGAGGAACGTGTGTGTGTCCGGTGGGAGGAATGTGTTTGTGTGTGGGGAGGAATGTGTGTGCATGTGTGTGTAGGGGAGGAACGTGCGTGTGTCCAGTGGGAGGTACATGTATGTGTGTTTGTGTGTGGGAGGAATGTGTGTGTGCATGTGTGTAGGGGAGGAACATGTGTGTCCAGTGGGTGGTACATGTACATGTATGTGTGTTTGTATGTGGAAGGAATGTGTGTGTCCAGTGTGTGTAGGGGAGGAACGTGTGTGTGTGTCCAGTGGGAGGTATGTGTTTGTATGTGGGGAGGAATGTGTGTGTGTGTGCATGTGTGTAGGGGAGGGATGTGTGATTGTGTGTGTCCAGTGGGAGGAATGTGTGTGTATGTGTATGTGTGTGTGTGTGTGTGTGTGTGTGTGTGTGTGTGTGTGTGTAGGAGGAATGTGTATCTGTGGCATGATCTTACCTCATAACTTAGTGCCACCCACTTATCTGGAGTGGCCTGCAGGAAAGTGTTGATTGTCTTCTCCTCTCTGGGCACAGCCCTTGTTCTGTCAACACAGATGGAAGACAACAAATTATGCACCGCTTAATTTAGTAGATTACACAATCATGTCACAAGTATGGTATCTGCAACCTTTAAACTTTCTGCATGCCATGTTATATGTGCTTAAGTCCTATAATTATCATATTAATGGAAAACACTGCATGGCATTATGGAATGTCCTAATTGATTATGTAAGTCATGTTTGGCATCTAATTATGTACATCTCTGACTAAGGTCCATCATTTACATCCATCATTCCTATCTTTAGTTATTCCTATAAAGAATTTTAACAAAAAAGTACTTCAACAAGTTGCAGTACATGTATATTAGAAAGAAGCAAGGAGGCCCAAATTTGACCTCGAGCTTTGTATTCCTGAGATCTACCCACATACCAAATATCATTACAATCCAGCCATACCTTCTTAAGTTATGCTGACCAAAAATACACCTAAACAAGCAAGCAAACAAACATAGTAAATACAATCATGATACATACATACATGTACATACATACATACATATTATACAGCTATACAATGTATATATAAAGGTCCATATCCCTTACGTGTTGATGACATAGAGGCAATTGTGCATCATATAGGGAACAATCCGTATGTTACTCTCACGCCCTCCCCCTCCACTCTCCTCGCTGAAGGACATTTCCTGGGCAAATCTGAGCAGCAGCAGTTTCAGGTCATGGATGTTGAGCTGGTAGGTGGGCTCCCGGATCCCTGTGCACTCTTGGAGATAGGTGTTGTGCCTGTAGATACATGAAGGTCACTACAGTCAGGAGGCAAGTTTAGAACATTTTACTGTGTGTAATACTACACATACTTTGGAGATACATGAGATATCGAAAGTTTATTGCAAATACATGGGCTAATTGCAAATACAACATGTATGAAAAGGAAGGTACAATGATATGAGTCTATGTGATACTACATTTTGTACTAAGTCTACATTCTACAACATACATGTACATGTACGTGGTACTAATTTTGTTGGGTTTGACTTCTTTTTTTCAGGCAGTGGGAGACGAATTTACTCATTTCGTCTATAATACATTGTGTGTTTTTTTTCAGTAGTAAAATTGTTTTCTCCTGAAGAGAAATGGTGGGAAAGTACATGTAATGGTTCAATTTGGACGGGAAAAACTCGTAGCCCCCCAAAATACATGTAGTTACAATATCTTTGTTGAAGTACATGTATACATCCACAGAGCAAAACTTCTTTGAGGAGGGGACAGGGTTAGTTTTAGTGAGAGCAAAATGTTTGCGCTCAATGTGGACGCGGGATGTGCCGCATAACATCACACAGTGGGTTCGATCAGGAAAGGTTCATTGAAAAGCTTCTTAGCCTGAGTCTTATAACCTAGATGTATAGTCCAGCTAGAAGTCCTCTGTGACATACATGTACAATGTACATGACAGTGCATATAAAGAAGATAAAATGTAGTCAGTAATGTTAACAGGGATTCTTGGCTATAGCATGTAGAATATTCTGGAGGACTTACCTAGCCAGACAGCTGGCAAAGGCTGACTCGGGTACCTGAGGGCCCCAGGCAGGAAGCAGGCCGTTACACTTGGTGTTGGCGTTCTGCAGCGCTGCACTCTCCCACTCCTCCCGCCCGCGTGCATGGCGTACAGCCGCCATGTGACAGTCGTAGTGGACGATGTTGAAGTGTGTGACTGTGGAGTACCCCTGCATCTTGCGAGGCTTGTTTTCAAACTCTTCCAGAGTAGCACGTTTGGTGAAAGTGTAGATGCCCAACACCTACAGGACAGGTAATTTACTGCTTTATTTATTTGTATTAACATTATGAATACAAGTTGCAATCACGTCTGAATCAACGGACATGAACTTTCGTTCTTTCCTAGAGCGATTAAGTTGCATAAGTATAAGAACTGAACTCTGTTCATCACGAGTGCTTTGTATTTTTAACTGGTTTTTAATTATGCTGCTTTTAATCGTTGTCTTCATGTTGAGAGCTTTTACTGTAATTGTCAACGAATTTCATGTCACATTTTCTGTGAATCTGTGTACATGCCAGTTGATTTAAATAAAATTGAACTTGAACTTGACATTTTTAAACACTTTGGCTCGATGAATTTAAATAATTATCTACAATTACATGACACATGTATAATAGATTCTACTTTGTATGATGACAAGGATCCAGCATCACTGTATTGTTTCATACCAAGTCTATGAAACAATGCAGCATTTAGACCTTAAGTCATACTAGTTCTTTAGTAGTTCATTGGAACATTGCATGAACCTTCAAGTTGGCAGTTGTTTTGTTGTTTACCAAATTCCAATACTGTTTTGAAAGTAAAATGTATGCTGCAGTTAATGTCTACTATAATGTTGCCAGGTCACATACATGTACAATGTATATCCACCACCCTGGTAAAGTGAGAGTAAAGACATCTCCTATACAGCGTCACCATGTATAATGCAGTGCTGCATATTAATAATATTATCTACATTGTGCATATACATGTACATGTACCTGGGGGTTCTGCACTACAGAGAACTCTCAATCAAACTGTATTTCAAAGTGGTGGATATTTGCAACCGGTGGATAAATATAAGGATATTCTAAACATTCTCTGATCTCTGATAAGAAACATACTACCACAGGGACATGTTTCCTCACACAGAAATGTTATATCTTGTTGCTACTACATTTGTAGTTGAAGTTCAACAGTCGTAATCTTAAATTGGTAGGTCAATTGTACATGTCAATCAGATTTCGTAAGCTAACCTGGTAACCCTACGAGCTACGTTTACAAAGTATTATAAATATTTGTGCGATAATCTGACCTGACAAAACATTGAAAATTTAGCTCAACAGTGATATGTACATTTATAAGTCTAAATTCTGTAGAACTTTTAGGAGCTCTACAAGAATTGAAACAAAATAGTGGCTATGACTTTAAATACTTGTACTTCAAATCAGTTTGATACAAGGAAAACTACATGCAATTTCAAAACAAGCAAATAAATGCAGATCTTTAAACATACTAAAATTTCTACTTTGCATACAGTATGCTATATGCTGTCAAAATTATCACTGTGCCAGAAAGTTGTAAAGGGCTCAGGTCAAGTCACTAGCAGTGAAACGTACAATAATTATTGTATATCATGAAATTGTTAATTCTGCTTGTATCCTACCTTGTTAGGCTGGAACTTGTACCCTTCTCGACATATACAACAGATGAGTCCTGCTTCATCTATCAGCTCCTCCATCTGTTTCAGTACTCCAGACTTGGCCACAATTTTACCCTGCTCATTTGTCTGAAAATTAGAGTTCATCAAAATTATTCATGGGTCAGTCTACACCTATGAGAATATTCCTGCTTGGGTACTTAAAGTGCCTGCTTAAAGTGGTGTCTGTGTGGTGTAGTGGATAGAGCGTCCGACTGTCAAGCAAGAAGACCCAGGTTCAATCCCCAGGGTTGGACCCAGACATGTCCGGACTTGCACCCAGACGTTGTGCCCTTGGGAAAGGCACTTAACACGCATTTCCCCCCTCAGTTAGAGGGTTCCTGGGCCCTACTAGGGTTTGGGTTGGCGTTAGGAAGAGCATCCAGTCGTAAAAACCTTGCTTCAAAAAAGATTTGTACCTGGTGCAAGCGCGTCTAACCCCTAGTTGGGAAAAAATGACGTTAAATTCGGTTTTAAAAAAAAGTACATCATCATGCCCATTAATTGTCAATTTTTGTAAAAAATAACAACCAGGCACTTGCAATGTTTAAAGTTTCACAGCAAAAAGAAATGATGTTGTGACAGTCCAAGACTGATGTGAAAGTACTTTCTAAACCAGACCCTTATGAGACAAAGAACAAATCATAGGTCCTTTCAAAAACATGCTCCACGGATCATCAAGACGTGGTATTCATCTTCAGTTTAATTGTGAAGTTACTTGAATGTGCAATTTTACTAGCTAGTATTGTACAGTTATCCACAAGTTTGCAATACATCGTATTTCGAAACATCAGATCACAAACTTTAAGTCTTGACAGTGACACACTTTTGTCTCACACAATTCCATCATGACTTTGACAGACAAACAACATGTACATGTTAGCATGAAAGTTCATCTGTGTTGGTATATAACATTATGTATAACATGACGATTGTACATGTACTCAGATGACATAAGACAGCCAAGTGATCATTTGGCAAAGGTATGAAGTCATGGAACCTCAGGTTCTGTTAAAGGATGCAAAATGGCTACAAAACCAGTTACCAAAATGTACTTACCGTCATTCCAAGGACACCCAGCTGTTTCTGTCTCATGGCCATGGCCATCTTCTTCTTCTCTGCACGAGTCTGGCGACGAGCATCTTCAATCTGCATTTAAAGAGGAATAAAGCCAAAAGGTCCAATATGTGTAAAAGTATTCATTTTTCTAACATTCAGACAATGCCTGATGAGTAATTCACCAACCGAACTGTATCAGACCTTATTATTAATAACTACAATGTATCTACCAGTGCCTTGGTATCATCTATCAGTACAACGTGATGTAGGTCTGTGAACAATATACATGTAGGACAAAAATTTAAATGGTATACTAATTTCTTTAGCCATAAATATACGAGTCTATCACTAAGACTTCATGTACAAGGTTTTATGAAGGAGTACTGTAGTTTAGAGGGTGGTTCTTCCAATTGTTGCTTTTGGTACTGGAACCAGGCTGATACCAAATGTCTAGAACATGTACCTGGCTGGCAACTTGCTCATTTTCCCGTAACGCCTCCATGAGATTTTCGGCCAAAGATCCAACCCTCTCCTTGCTGGAAACCTGCTCCAGACAATGGAACACCAGGATACAGGCATCTCCAACCAGCAGCTGGGCAGGGGGACACAAGGGTTCACAATTAATGTGTACCTGTCAGGGACCTAGATTTTTGTACATCTCAACTTGCCAGCAAAACAAGCTGATGTACATGTATTCCAGAGTTTTGAATGTGCTAGCACCCATAACCATAAACAAAGTTTACTGCAAACTTTACATGGCATCAAACCCAGAAAAGATCACTGCATGTAAAACTGGAGACCTGGCCCAGGCATACATGTACATGTACATTGTACATTGTACATGTATATGATGCTGAGATTCCTGTTTTTCTTTTTTGTCATTAATAGTTTTCTTCATAAACAATCATACAATCACACATTTTGTTTTATTATGATCATTAATGTATATACAAAAACACATAATCCAAAACATGATATGTGAAAATATAACTTGCTTAAGCTAAAGCCTTGTGACTGATGATTTTGTACTTTTGTTTGTTTTTGTTTGGTACTCAAATGACAGCTTATACTTGCAACATTGATTAACAAGTAGTAAATGTAGGAGATTCCATTTACCTGAGTCTGGGGGTGTCCCTGGCTCAAACCTGTCAGCATGCGCAGGATGAATGGAAGGGCCGGTCTGGCAATGAACTCTTTCCACGAATCAGAGTCAAGACTGCAAAAGAAAGTAGGCGTCCTTACAACCTGTGACCCACCTTCTTAACATAGTCCTACTGTCCCAAAGAGCCCCTTTGGCTGTCAGAAAAACACGGTTCTAGAACATTAATTTTGATTGTATGACCGGAATTTTCTTCATAACAAAGACATACTTCCTATGACCATGGAGATCATTATTTTTTATCTCCATGCTATAACTAAGTCTTGCTTGCCTTGCTAATAGCAGTGATTACCGCCCCCAAACAGCCCACCCACAGCTGTAAAGACAAGTAAATCTGTTACAGACCAAAACCCCATGCACACCCTTTGGCGCCCAGAAGGGTAGCCCATATGCATCAAGGTAGCCCTAGCCCTAGCCCTAGCCCTAGCCCACCATTTCCGGATACCCAGTGTAGGAATTTCTTTGCAAAGAGCCTTTTCCTGGCAAAAGTTCAAATTACTGGGCAGTCACAAGAAAATAATGTTATTGTGTCCTTACTTTGCTGATGATGGAGCATGTCCTGTGATGTAGTCTATAGCCAGTTTGACCACACCATGTTTGATCATGAGGTCCTTCAGCCGCTCACCATTGGGACTCTTTTCAATGGCATTCATGATCTGACAGAAACAGTCCAGATGAGTCTCATCATCAGCTGTGTGATCCTGGTCAAACCTGCCAGAGAACAAAAACGGCTGTTCTATCATTTTTTTACAGACAATTGTGGCAAGTTTTGATAATTATAATATAATATAATATAATATAATATAATATAATATAATATAATATAATATAATATAATATAATATAATATAATATAATATAATATAATATAATATAATATACATGTAGAGACTAACAACTGTTACAGTTAGAGGACATCAGGGCCAAATGGAGGTTACAACCTGACAAAAGAACATCCACAGGGGCGAAAAAAATTTTGGGCTCAACTTGCACTGGTGCAGATAAAAAAATTTTACTTGCACCAAAAAAAAATAGTTGCATCCCCCAAAAATAGTAGGTACACAACCAAAAGTACATAATACGTAACTATAATAGTATATATCCAATATTTGCTGACAATGTTGTGGGGATAAATCATGTCAGTGACTTGGATAATCTTTCAGATCTTTATTGGGTATTTCTATGGGTAGTGAGTCAGTGTAGTAACAGATAAAGTTTACTTGCACCGGTGCACACCGGTAAAAAATTAGTTGCACGGGGCCAATTTTACCTGCAACAACTTGCACACAGAGGGGTATTTCGACCCCTGATGAGAGTAATGTCTACAGTCACCATGCATCATAATCAGTTCCTGATGCCTGCAGATGATTTCATAACTGCATAATGTTGCATGTCAAAGTCAAAGAGCAAACTCCAAGGTTACTTGGCGTAGTCTCACTAAACAGGGCTAGAAATTCATTTTTGGGAGTAGGCGCACTGGTGCACCCAACCTAAAGAATTGGGTGCACAGAAAATTTTTTTGGGTGCACCATATAAAGCAAAACATAATTGAATCTGAACCTAATTGAATCTAAAATGGGAGCTAACTTCAAGATCTTAAACATTCAAGTACTACAACAAGATTTTATTATTTTTCTGACACTTAGATGCCAAGAATATTCTGTATACTTTAATATGTACAAAAATACCTACAAAAATATTTAGGTGCACCAGTGCACCCACAGAAAAAATGGGTGCACAGCTCCAATTTTGGGTGCACTAAGGTGCACATGTACCCAGTATTTCCAGCCCTGCTAAATCAACATACCTCTCAAAGGCAAGGTACGGCTTGAAGTGCTCCATGAGAGCTGTCATCTTCTCCTCGGCTCCGAATGCCACAAACGGCACCAGCCTCATGAGGGCCTGCAGCACGTTGGCCTGGGCTCGCACAAACGGCCGGTTGATGCTCTCCAGGAGGAGGATGAGCTGAGACCTTTCCACTGAGGCCAGAACGTTGGTCTGAGACAAAAGTCAGGACATTAATTGATGACAAAATACAGGGTGCACTGGAAAGGCATATAAGTGAGAACTTCATGCACTTGCGTCATTAGCCTCAGAGCTGTACACTTGAAGAAGCCACACAGGCGAAAACCAGTCATGTAACAGGCTGAATAAAAGTTCTAAACGGGAACTATGCGGCTTCAGGTTGTCTTACTGAGGGACGACTGTGTGTGCAAGATGTCGGTTAGCTTGAGGAATGAATCCCCTCTACTATATACAGAATACAGGGTGAGGGTAACATTAGAATATAAAAGAATCTATATAATAAAAATCTAATTTATTAGATACTGTTTTGCTGTACCCTAAATTTAACTAGTAGTAGCCATATATTTGACGTCTAAAAGGCACAGTTAAAATGTTCTTCTATGTCCAATTTCTGGCATAAATTGTAGGTACTTAAAATTTGCAAACTATCAAGTCTTGTAGCTGTTAAAATGACCAAAATGACCACCTTGTTGCCTGTGCTGTCAGCTGCCAGGTTGGCTTCTTGAAGAACCATCTCCATGATTGACAGCAGTTGTTGGGCTAGAGACCCCGCTCCACCCACCCCACCATCAGGCTCACCCTGACACACAACAATAATGGAGTTACTGTAAGTTGTGTAAGTTTTTTTCTTGTTGTTGCTGGTACTTTTCCTGGGATGGGTGCTAAAGAACATGACAGTCACTGTAACTGTTATAACCTAATAAAGTATGATCATATAAGCAGTTTTAACACTCTTACTTGTACTTGTACTTGTTTTAACACTCAGTCTATCAAATATCATTAGGCCTAGAAAAAAACGGTTGTGTTTCCTGTTTCAGTCCTGAAAAAATTTGGGTCGGTAGGTAGGGATTATCTTCTTATTGGACTTTCACAATTTCTGGTGATTGAACTGTCTTATACAATACAGTTTAACAAGCTAAAACTTGCATGAGTACACTTATATTTTCAATGTCAGTGTTGGAAAACTGATTGTACAATCATTATGTTTCATCACTCTCATGTCAGATCATGGGGCTAGAAATGGTTGTCAATGATCAGCTCGAAAAATGGGGTTCACCAATATGGGTTGGCAGCTTTTTTTAGGGTTGGTAGGGAAACAGGGAACACAATTTTTTTCCTAGGCCTTACACAATTCACCAAGGTAACTCATCTCCAGCATTCAGGTCTATACTTCAGAATGAATTACATAATAATATACTAAATATAATACTAGGTAGAATCTGACCTGCAGGACCAGGTTGAGAGTCCCCAGCATGATGGGCAGAGTGTTGAGACTGGGCTGGATCAGGGCCTGTCTGTTCACCTTCAGCTTCACACAGTAGCTGAACAACTTCAGAAGGACCTGCAGCAGGTCTCCTCCACGGACCAGGTCTGTGATGGAGGACAGGCGCTGTAACATGGCCTGCAGACCTCCACACTCACTCAGCACCGAGGCCAGCTTGTAGGTTTCCTCATTATCCACCTCCGTATCTGCAGGTAAAGAAACAGGAGTAGGCACGTGTGTCGATGAAGGTTAGACATCCAGGTAATACGATACACTAAAAAGCAGTTACTCAAGCAACTGGATATGATTTTGGAAACGGACAAGACGTTTCAGCTACATGTAGTATCCACTAGCTTTTGTCAGTGACTGAGAGACCAGAGAAGAATTGCAGGTTTATATTAAGCACAAACTATTGATTGATAATTCTGCAGTTGGCACCTGTCCTGTGCATTATGAATATTGACTTCACTGGTGTCACTTTGAATGCACCAAATACCAGCAATACACTAACCTGAGCACGTATTGTCACAAAAGACTAGTAACTAATCATATATAATGTAAAGCACTACCAAATGTGATAAATATAAAAGACTACTGATCTGTGTGTACTCTTGTACCAGTTGACAGTCCTCACCTGCAGTATTCTCTAAAGTTTCCACAAATTCTTCTGTAGCATCCCCAAGCAGTCCTGTTAGGGAATGATCATGAATTTAAATTAATGTTTACTTAATATATAACTATACCACTGAAGTTTTCAATAATGATGGACATTAAGTCATGTTTGAATAGACAAATGTAACATTAAGGCCACATCTTATTTAATTTCTTTGGTTAACGGATTTTCTAGAAAATAATGGAGCGGGTGGGCGAAAAAATAAATAAATAAAAACAGGCCTAGGCATCCTATTATGGCCCAAAATGGTACGATAGAAGCCATGAAGTCAACACACCAGGCTGGTTAAAATTTAAACAATGAATTTTAAACTTTCAATGATACCATTGCATTGAAAGGTGAAATAACAAGTTGAGTTCAACTAGGATGAAAAGGACTGTTTTCAACTGTGCAGGGCAAAATATATTGAGCAATTTGCAGTTGATTCTGAATTTTTATTTTTATTTGCAAATCAGAAAAAAATGAAGCAGGCGATTCCGTTAACCAAGAAATTAAATTGGTGTGGCCTAAGGTCAGCTTCACAAACATGTACCAGTATCACTGTTAAACTCACCTCTCATCCTGTACACAACTCTCATGGCTTCACCCTGCAATACAACATGGTGAAGTACAAGACTAGTTAAAGGCAGACCCAAGTCTAATCATATTGGCAACTTAACAATGTCATTGAGTTTGGACTAGGCAGTGGTTACTTGTATATCACATGACATCAATTTTCTGGCAACCCCCCCAAGTACCCTCCAGATGTATGGCCAGGTGAAACATATCATTTTTCAAACAACCATTGGACAAACCACAAAGCAGGATCACTTGATAGCACAATTATCCAAAAGTGCACAGGGCCAAAAAAACCTTCTTCCTTAGAACCATTTTGCTTTGGAACACGCTACCTACCAATGTTCACACAGCTCCCACCATTACTTCCTTCAAAACCAGACTCCAGACCTCCCTTGGAGATCCATATATACTGTGAATTCTGACCCTGCCCTCCCAATGTAAATATCACTCTTTTCAGTGCACCTTAACTTAATTTAAGTCTTTATGCATTTTATGTATTGAAATCCTATAGATGCAATGAGTTGATGATTCTGATTTTAACATCTTACTGATTTAGATTCAGAAGTATTCAGAACTAACCTCATGCTCTGGACACCATATCTTCCTGTAGACATCTTGTACAAGCAGGTCCAGGCTGACAATCTTATTGTTCACCAGTAGCTGCAGTGTAAAGATCAAGGATTAAACAGTTGTTCCAGTCATGAAATCATTTTTAACCGTGGTCGACAGGTACAAGATTCTAAAACCTTACGGTACCCTACTTTAGCCATTATGGCGTTGTATGGCATATTGGTGAAGCAAAAGTAGGGTGTGGCACTGTTAAAGTAGGTGTGTGAAGTGTGCCATACAGCTAAAGTAGGTGTGTCACACAGCTAAAGTAGGTGTGTCACACAGCTAAAGTAGGTGTGTCACACAGCTAAAGTAGGTGTGTCACACAGCTAAAGTACATGTAGGTGTGTCACACAGCTAAAGTAGGTGTGTCACACAGCTAAAGTAGGTGTGTCACACAGCTAAAGTAGGTGTGTCACACAGCTTAAGTACATGTAGGTGTGTCACACAGCTAAAGTACATGTAGATGTGTCACACAGCTAAAGTACATGTAGGTGTGTCACACAGCTAAAGTACATGTAGATGTGTCACACAGCTAAAGTAGGTGTGTCACACAGCTAAAGCAGGTCTGGTGTCCACTGCTAAAGTAGACATGTTGTGCAGCACTGGTAGAGCCAAAAATGTCTATAAAATGGCTAGCGGACATTAGACATGATTTAGACATTGCCGAACAAAGGCAGTCGGGAAAACATTTAGTAGACATAGTTACTGAAAAACGACATTGAAATAACCCAAGATGGACATTTTATATACAGTCTCTTCACACGTCAGGTAGGGACACCCCTAGGAGACAGTCCTTTGTTTAGCACAATGCGTACTTATAAAGATATTAGCATCTGTCCATTAATTAATGATGTCCTCCCCTATGAATTGCCTTGGCTTTGTCATTTGTGTAGTGCTTGCGAGTTTTCACAGTTTTTTCTAAAGATTTCTAAACTATAATTTCCATTAAACATACACCCCTACTTCACCTAGTCCCATCCTAGAACATACACAAAACATGGAAAAGGTGCTTATACAAATTTCAATATAATTTAAATCATTTAAAAACTTTTTGTGCTACTGATTCTTACCTCCATACCACTGTCATCCTCAAGTAAGGCAACAAGTTCACAGTCTGCAATAACAACAATAACTTGTTATAACAGTTATGAAGATACATGTATGATCAGACATGGTTACAACTGCTCCTTTGTTTTCAGTGTTTGGTGAAAATAATTTAGGAATTTCAAAGCATTTCAAGCTCTGTATAATGTCATCTGAACACCTACTGCTGCTCTGGTTAGTTAATGCAGTAGAATATGAGACATAAATAAATCAATGTACCAGTAATGATAAAGAACTATAGCTTTAAAAAACTAGCAAAATGAATGTGGAAGGTAATGTGTGCCATAACTACGTGCCAGAGGTTAATGACCCCCACCGTCGGGTGTGTCCCCATGATGTCCACATGTAAAATTAAATTAAATGTATTCTGCATCCACCAAACTTTTTTGCCAGTATTAGTAAAGTCTGTGATAAACCTCAGTTGAATCTGGTGAGAGAGGGCTGTCACTAAGACAGTTGAATGGTCTAGTGGTTAGGCTTTGAAGCTCTCACCACCAAGGCCCAGGTTCGATTCCCGGTATGGGAACCACTGTAAGAAACAGGAGCAAGCAGTAGAAACAGATAAAAAAACCCTGGTCCGGGGCCGGGGTTCGAACCCACGACCAAACCCGGGTACCAGTCCACAGGCAGACGCTCTAACCATTCGGCCAAAAAGGTCTAGACCCCTCGGCTGGGTCAGTTGGTAGCACCTATAAACCCCCAACTGTTACGCTACCTTGGCAGATCTTGTTCTTGACATCTCTCATGAGGGGTCCCAGCCCTGGCTCGTTGGAGCTGTAGGGGTTTCCCTGCATCCGACCTTGGAGGAAGTCTTCCTGCTGAGGGTCTTTGTCAAGAGTCATGAAAAATTCAGTGGCCTCTTGTTCCTCCTGTGACATCAGAAATTACACAGTATTAAAACATGGTAACACTAACAACAATTCAGTTTCTTTGCATTCAGACTAAGACACAGAAAATATGGCATTGCACACAAATGAGTAACTTAATAGTATCACATACTGTAGACAAAGAACAAAGTAACTTAAAATAATATGAAAACATTTAATGTTACATTAACTACATGAAGTCAGTAAGAGATCTATGATTAATTTCATGCCTTTAATTTGCTAAATGATGTTCACATTTACAACTGGTGTAATGTAACCTTATGTTAACTTCCAAATGCTGCAAGTATGAAACTAAAAATTCTACTACCATCATCATGTAAGTGTTTTTCTCACTTAAATGAAGAAAAAAATTACCAAGAAATTTTTTGTAAAATCTGCAACGTGGGATGAAACCTACATGTATGCCACCTCTTCCCAATCTTATGTCCATCTATCTACCATTTAATAAATATCACTGTTCCATGTCACACTCACACATCAAAATTGGAAGACTTAGTCCTGCTACAGTACCATAGGAAGCCACCAGGGGCCTAAAATCTAATTTTTCAACATGGTGGGCTTCAAAAGAAGTCAAACCCTGGAAGAACAAATCTAGCTCAACGAATATTTTTAGAATGTAGTATAAGTGTTCTAAACAATTATCTTAATTTCAATTATTTTTTCTTAATTTTGCCAACACATCATCGCCCACACAAACATACCAAGTATCATAAAGATCCATGACTAAATTTAGTTAATAATATGCTGTTTACAAACAAACAACCAGACACATGTACAGACAGATTACACAGACCTCAACACATATACATGTATAATTATTACATCTATTAATTAAACCTTCTTGAACGATGATAATATGTACTTACAGGAAAGATGATGTTGCAGAGACGTTCAAAGATGAAGACAGGAGTGACCAGGTCAGACAGAGGGTACTTCTGTAGGGTTTCCACACACACTGCCATGAACGATCTCGTCTCAGCTTCGTTTCCTGGGGAAAATTAAGACCAGCCTCTACGTACTTTGTAACATGTAATCTAACTTAAACTTCAGAACTCTGGTATGAATTATGCTGGTGGGGGTTGCTGTATGCCATCAGTTTGTTTGAGAAGAGACATACATTGTTTTGTACATACATTGTTTTGTACAAAGACATTGTTTTGTACATTTAGGTCTAAGAAGTTAGTCATCCTGTCACGGTGACCATGCTACACATTTTGTACAAAGGTAAGAACACGTGGTAATATTTGCATACTTAGTTATTACTCAAAATGGCACCCAAACCTGTTTGTAAGTTTGAACAGGGCAGAGTCTTATGGTAATAATAATGACACACTACCAGTAACTATATGTTGTGTGTACAACTACATGTATGTGACAGGAAACTTGACAATGAGTCATTCTTAGGCCACACCAATTTAATTTGTTGTTTCTCGGATTTGCCCTGTCCATTTTTTTCTTTGCAAAAAATTTTGTTCTAAATCAACTGCAAAATGCACAAAAAAAGACATATTTTGGCCCCAACTTCCTAGTTGTTAAAGTTTTTCAATGTAACAATGCAATATTGTTTCATTAAAAGTTCAAAATCGATTGTTTTAATTATAAACCAGCCTGGAATGTTCACTTCATAGCTCATATTGTAACATTTCCGGCTATCATAGGGTGCCTTGGCCTTTTTTTTTTCGACCTGTTGCTTCATATCTTTTCTGAAAAAATCCGAAAAACAACAAATTAAATTGGTGTGGCCTTACCAGTTGAGATGTCCTCCAGCAGTTCCAGTAGCATCTCTTGAGTCTCATCGATGAACTTAGTCCTCTGCACCAGCAGTCTGCGCAGACAGAGGTAACCGTGGAGCAGGACCCCGACTAGCCGCTTCTTGTACTGTTGTTTGATGACTTCTACATCCACCAGAGACGCAAGCAGCTCTGCAAGTACAGGAGAAACACAAAACGTTCAAACTATGTACATGTATTAGAAGTTAAGACCTTAGTAATTATAATAATATAAAATAATACATGGTATACAAAATGTTGAATCTGATGTAATTATAGTATAACTTCAATCTATAACACAATTTAGACAGGAAAATAAAATCATTCATTAACTTTTACCAGAGTAAGGTGTCATTTTCAAAATAATCAGTAATTCATTGACAAGAGGACCTAGTTTTAAAAATCTATTAAGTTGCTGAGTAAAAATTGCCTCAATATACCAAAGATACATTGTACATGGATGCATGAATGTACAAATGCTGTAATTATCTATAACTGGAAGTTATGCATGCTTACCAGGCTCAAAATTATCACTTTGGACTAAACAGTGTCAGTTTCAGGTTTACTGGAATCCAAATAAAGCACTGACAGAAACATACCTGTCAGCATCTTGAGAGCACAACCCTTGGTTAAGTCAGAGCCCTTTTGTTTCTCCTCGTGCAGCGTAAGTTGTTCAACCTCCTAGAAAAGAAAATAGGCCAGAATTAACATCCAGCAAAGTGTGCCATCCTCCACATGTTTAATTTGCTTTGATTCTGTTTTATTTTATGAAGATTTACCACATTTGTGGAAGGATTGACTTAACAGGTGAATATCACCTCTAACTTCAAGATGTCAAACCTGAGACCAGACTGTAAGGTTTGAACCACTCACACCGGGAAGGTCCCCTACTCTTTTCGATAAAGTGTGGTGGGTTCTTCAACGTGTGTGGGGTGTGGCTCTCCCCAAACACGGGACCTCCATTTAACGTCCTATCCAAGGGACGTCCCTAACCGAAGCTAGGTGCTTATTTACACTGGGTGAGTGAAGTGAGGAAAGTCGTGTACATGAAATGTGCCAGGCCCTTTCTCAAGACCTAACATTTTGAGTCAAGAACACATGGAGCAAAAAGGAGCAAAGAGCTGAGGAGCAAAGAGCTGTAACTAGAGTCATTAATTTTTGCACATTTCCTTGTTACTTCTTGAGATTCAGCCTTGGCTCTCCTGACTGAGTTGGACCCTCTTACACTTACAGTGCTTCTCTTCTGGGTTGCTTGGTCCATGACCATAACAAATTATGTTAATGTTAATTAAGTTTCCTTCTCAATGCCCAAAAGCAGTGATAGCAGTCTAATATTGATTATGATATGAATCTTTATTGCATGTTCTTGCCCAGATGGGCTAAATGCACAAATGGGACCAAATGTGGTCCAGAGGATAAAAAACTATATTATAATTATAATTACATATTATTACATACTGGAACACTATATTCTAATGCTAAGTGCTAGGAGACTATACAATGTATATTACAACAATACTATATACTACGGTAACCTATCATCTACTTTTAGTTGCCCTTTCTTCTCTCTTTTTATATTAATAAAGTATTACTAAAGTAGCAAAGCTGATGTAAAGTGATGCCATCAAATTTCTGCTGGCATACAAATGTACCTTCAGCTTTTCTAGTGAGATAGGATTCAAATAACTTGTTGCTTCTATCTGACAAGACCTGACCTTGGTGATGAGATGGCCCAGGTGGGGTAAGAGGCCCTTGATGGCGAGGTACTTCTTCCATTCCTTAGGAGCAGACAGCTTCTTGTACAAGGCCATAAACTCAGTCCCGTTCTCTCCCATAGGTCCCAGTTCACACAGAAACCTGCCATCAAGAAAGCATAAAAATACATTTGTATGTAAGGAGCTGTTCAAGTCTTGAAAGTACAATGTAAGTAATTCCTTATCATATCAGATCCTACTTTGCATAATGCTGGCATTCTATAGAATGATCCATATAATGTACGCACACACACACACTCTCACATGCACACACGCTCTCACATGCACACACGCACACACGCACACACACACACACACACACACACACACACACACACACACACACACTACCNNTTAAATTGGTGTGGCCTTACCAGTTGAGATGTCCTCCAGCAGTTCCAGTAGCATCTCTTGAGTCTCATCGATGAACTTAGTCCTCTGCACCAGCAGCCTGCGCAGACAGAGGTAACCGTGGAGCAGGACCCCGACTAGCCGCTTCTTGTACTGTTGTTTGATGACTTCTACATCCACCAGAGATGCAAGCAGCTCTGCAAGTACAGGAGAAACACAAAACGTTCAAACTATGTACATGTATTAGAAGTTAAGACCTTAGTAATTATAATAATATAAAATAATACATGGTATACAAAATGTTGAATCTGATGTAATTATAGTATAACTTCAATCTATAACACAATTTAGACAGGAAAATAAAATCATTAATTAACTTTTACCAGTAAGGTGTCATTTTCAAAATAATCAGTAATTCATTGACAAGAGGACCTAGTTTTTAAAAATCTATTAAGTTGCTGAGTAAAAATTGCCTCAATATACCAAAGATACATTGTACATGGATGCATGAATGTACAAATGCTGTAATTATCTATAACCGGACGTTATGCATGCTTACCAGGCTCAAAATTATCACTTTGGACTAAACAGTGTCAGTTTCAGGTTTACTGGAATCCACATAAAGCACTGACAGAAACATACCTGTCAGCATCTTGAGAGCACAACCCTTGGTTAAGTCAGAGCCCTTTTGTTTCTCCTCGTGCAGCGTGAGTTGTTCAACCTCCTAGAATAGAAAATGGGCCAGAATTAACATCCAGCAAAGTGTGCCATCCTCCACATGTTTAATTTGCTTTTATTCTGTTTTATTTTATGACGATTTACACATTTGTGGAAGGATTGACATAACAGGTGACTATCACATCTTCAAGATGTCAAACCTGAGACCTGGCTGTAAGGTTAGAACCTATCACACCGGGAAGGTCCTCTACTCTTTTCGATAAGTGCGGTGGGTTCTTCAACGTGTGTGGGGTGTGGCTCTACCAAACACAGGACCTCCATAGGGACGTCCCTAACCGAAGCTAGTAGGTACTTACAATTTCTATTTACACCTGAGTGAAGTGAGGGACCTCTTGGGCCTGGGCCGAACATGTTACCGCTACGCCACACGACCCCACAATACATCATGACTAATATATACATGTAATAACACACTGTGCCACAGACGTTTCATTGTACATTGTAAATATATTTTAGTACTAACTATTTAATGAAGAGAAAATATCTACAACTAGAAATCCATCCTTCCCCAAATGATGTTATTACCTAATAGATACAACCAGGTCTACATGTATGGAACTGCCATGCATCATTCTCTGATACTTGCGAACAATAGATCAATGGACTTCATCTGCATAAATTATATCTGTTTCAGTAAGTAACTGTTGATCATCTTCTACATCCAATTAACAGGAGTTGACAATGCCCAATCATGACCTAACATTTCCAGTCAGGAACGCAAGGAGCAAAAAGGAGCAAAGAGCTGTAACTAGAGTCATGTGCACATTTCCTTGTTACTTCTTGAGATTCAGCCTTGGCTCTCCTGACTGAGCTGAGTTAAGACTCCATGAAGAAAAGTGAGTATAAGCGTATACTCACTACTGGAGATCATTCAAATAAACAAAGTTGGACCCTCTTACACTTACAATGCTTCTCTTCTGGGTTGCTGGGTCCATGACCATGAGGTTGGTTGAAATAATGTCGTAACATAAGTAGCAAAGCTGATATAAAGTGATGCCATCACATTTCTGCTGACATACAGGTACATTTTGTACCATCAGCTTTTCTAGTGAGATAGGATTCAAATAGCTTGTTGCTTCCATCTGACAAGACCTGACCTTGGTGATGAGATGGCCCAGGTGGGGTAGGAGGCCCTTGATGGCGAGGTACTTCTTCCATTCCTTAGGAGCAGACAGCTTCTTGTACAAGGCCATAAACTCAGTCCCGTTCTCTCCCATAGGTCCCAGTTCACACAGAAACCTGCCATCAAGAAAGCATAAAAATACATTTGTATGTAAGGAGCTGTTCAAGTCTTGAAAGTACAATGTAAGTAATTCCTTATCATATCAGATCCTACTTTGCATAATGCTGGCATTCTATAGAATGATCCAATATTATAATGTACGCACACACACACACACACTCTCACATGCACACACGCTCTCACATGCACACACGCACACACGCACACACACACACACACACACACACACACACACACACACACACACACATGCACACAACCATGCAAACACACCCATACAAAACACACACAGTCACAAAACACACACAGTCACAGACTGAATGCCAACCTTGTTAAGAGATCCAACACCTGCTGGTACCGTTCCTCTTGTTGCTGCAACAGAAAGGGAAGAGAAGGTCACTTTAATCTACCAAGGTTACCTCAGGTCTCCTTTTTCTTTATGCAATGAAGAATTAATAGGATAGTTTTTAACCAAATAAACATCAAAACCCCATGCAATGACAAGTAAAAGGAGTTAAATACATTTCGAAATGTGGAAAAGGGAAAAGTAGAACCAGGAGCTAGGACACAATAGAACCACTTGCACATTAAGCCTCCTTGATATCTTAATCTCATTATCATTATAAAATAATTCAAAATTACTTTTTATAGTATCAAACCCTGCTGAAACATGGCTGTGCTCCAGCATGTGCTAAGTACACTAGACAATTCTACACACATGTAGAACAGACCTGGGCAAAAGTGTAGATGATGTCGCAGGCTGCCTGGCGAGCCTGTTGGGAGGCAGGGTTGAAGACGATCCTGTAGATCCAGGCGTTGGTGCCCAGAGTCAACTTCACCGGAGGACCAAACACCTGCTCATGCCAGCGCCACCCGTACTTCTCCATCAGGTACTTGGTACGAGCATCAACCTCTGCTTTCTCTGTTCAAAAGGCCAGATTATTATTTACTTAGAGCACAGCAAAATTTCTAATCGACATGCACATGTTGTGATTGTTAGGTACATGTACATAGTAGTACATGTACAATGTAGCTTTTGGGCTCAGTCAGAAGGAAGCTACATGTATGTTCACTTGAATGTATGATATTGTACTCTATATGTTGAATGACAAGAAGAATTTCCTACTGATATCAAACATATGATAATGGACAATCATGAATTATGAAGAACTGGACCCTATTAAAAAGAAATAACATGAATGATGTCTTTTGGGTTGCCAATGATAAGGCCTGAGGGCCACTTAACTTGGGGAACCATGACTGTACTATATAATATCATACATGTATTAGTGATGAAAATTTCATACAACAACTCAAGAGTAAGTATAAAAAAGAGTTATATAAAGAATAAAAAGGAATGAAAAAGATTAAATCATGGATTTTTTCATCACAATAATAATTATTCAAGAGAAGGATATCTACATGTACATGTACAAGATGGACATGACTATATTGAACAACTGTCTTGCATTTACTTATTAAATTCATTGACATGAGAAAAAGAATGTACAATATAATTGTACTCAGTGTCACTGCTTGGCTTTATTTCAAGTTTTTTTTTCTGACATGACATGACATCTGCAACAAAGAGAAATGACAGAATTCTGTGACAATGTCAGTACATGTAACTGACCTCTCTGTGGAACTCTCTCCTTCCATGACCTGTAGCCAGCAGACTGTTCTCCCTCCAGCCAACTCTTGGCATGAACATACACCTGTGCTCCTTGAGACTGCCGACTCCCCAGTTCTGATACTGGTTTATCCTGGAATATGACAACACATGCCTGTCAACATAAATATCCAATTCACCCTAGCACTACTTTATCACAGTTTACTGAACTATAATAACAGTTCCAGAGAGAGTTCCGAGACCTCAAACCTTTGCCAAATGATCTAAACATCTAAGGATGACATACAAGGTTTCTCCTTTATAATGAAAATAAAGGTCCTAATTTGCATAAATCATATCAATTGATTACCTCCTCTACCTAGTAAATAGTACATGGAGTTTAAAGTTTGAAAGTCTTATCTCAACAAGATCTGTCTTAAGGCTTTTGTACCAATTTCTCATCTATTATACAAATAAAACCATATCCATTTATTTCTTACCCTTAGGCTGCCTCAATATATTCCCAAGGTTCTCCACCAATTTACAGTGTGAAAGGGGCAAGAGAACAAGATAAAAACAGAGTCTGAAGATCTGTGGAACAATTCAGGTTATTGCCCAGGCCTTATTGATACGTTTGGTGGTTCAAACCCAACTGGTGATTGGAACACGTCTGGCTTCAAATAGCTAGTAGGTTTAATCTGAACTCCTGACCTTAATTGTCATACACAGACTGCTGTGGACTGTACCTACCTTGTTCTTATTGGAAGTAGGTTGTGGAGGCTTGCTGAGGCATTGTAAGATCTGTAAGCAGGGTAAGGTAATGCTGCCTACAACTGTGGGATTGGAACTCTGCATTGCCAGCATCAGCAACTGGACAGCTGTGGGGACCAACAGGAAGCATTAATAACGGTTCATGGAATGTACATGTACATGTGTAAGGTCAAACAACAAGTTACATGACTGTACTTAACGTACACACCTATCATGAAAGCACACATCTACAGCACTAGACTTGAAGAGAATATTGGTTCTGGTTCTGGTCCCCTTACCCATATACAGAGTAGCTTGCAGTTTTTCTTTAAACGGAAGGTAATATCCACTTACTGCATCTGAGATGCTCCTCCCAACAGTCTCCTTCAAGCTCAACTGCATCAGCAAGTAGCAGTAGTTCATGACACACAGCACTGCCCTGCAATGGAAGATGGGAACCATCACATACAAAAACAAAAACCATTGCACATCCAAGGTAAGAATTTGAAACATCAGACGAGAATTTTCCTTGGTTCCCTGGATCTTAGACAAGTTTGTCTGAGCATACAGTTGCCACTAAATGTGTTAAATGCCAGGAGAATTCAAAGCATTAGCCTAGTACAACAATTATTGATTTAAACAACCATTATCATCTTCACATAACACAGTATTTATGGGCGAACCCCGTAGTCAAAAGTAGTTCGGGTACAAGGTACATGTAGTGCGTCACAATATTAGTCTAGAGAAAGCTGCAGAGATTGTTCTGTTGATGGGTTCATGGTTAATTTTAGAGGAATACATGATCTGATTCAGTTTTGAGACTGTAAAAGTTATGGTGCGTGTTCAGTCGGCGTAGACTTGCGCTTGGACACTGGTACTGACTTAAAAGTACTGTAGGTTGTCTGCAGTTCATAATTATGACCACTGTATACCACTATTAAAAGAGGGCATCACAAAAAAACAAATTCTGAACATTGCTTGTGCAGCCTTCTATATTTTTCATTGCGTCGAAGTCAGTCATTTTGGGGTCCTTAACTAAAGAGAGCCCCATAGGGCAAAAACAGTGTTTTGCCACCTAATACAGGTATACAATGTAAGTGCACCTACCAGCTCTGTCTTGGTTCTGTGCGCTTTCAGTGCTGATCCTATCCGCCTCTGTAAAATGTGATTCAGTTCTTGTGTGGCCACGGTGTTGTCCCTGCAAGTAATGTTAGGATAGAAAAGTAAGTTACAGTTACACCTGGTGTCTAACTGCTGTTTTTCTACTCAGTCTGGTAACAATACTGTCCATAACTAAAATCTGATTTAGCATGAAAGCTCATCTGTGTTGGTACAAATCATTATGAAATAAAGACTGAACAGTTACTGTAACTTCCAACACTAGGTATAGAATTGGGACTTACCCCAAATTTTCGGTTGACTCCATCAACCTTGTTCACGGACCATTCCNAAATACACACTTATAAAGGAAAAAGTAAGTGAAAGGTGTCCCATTAAACCCCATGCAGAGCCCAAATTATTCATAACTATTTTTCTATGCACAAACTGCAAGTTAGTAATAATTCACTAACGTGAAGTGGGGCAATTAGCATTATTCACATGATAAACCAGTTAAATCTCTTTGAAGTATACTCAGAACCCCCATACAGAGCCTTTATCACTTCCTTTGCATTTATTTTAGGACTCATCATGCCTTTGCATACTTCTGATTCAAAAAGACAATATTCTAGTCAATACCTTTTGAATTAGGCTAGCGAAATTGCTTGATTTATTGTTTTTCAGAGGCTAAAATACCCCATAATTAGCCTCTTCCCACGACTCACAATATTTAGATCCCAAATAAACGACGATTGTTTCTTAATGAATAGATGTTCCTCTATTCAGAAAAATCAAAACCAATCCAAACAAATGCAGATAGTGTGACAAATGGCCCTTTAAAAATGACTAATACATTGTATTCAAAAAAGTTCCAAGTCTGCTTTCAATGGTTCTGATAACCCCCAAGCATACCCTTTAAAGTTCAATGCCAGAGCTTCAAATTTTGTCTGGTTAGACTAGATAGATGAAGAAATGTAAAAATCAAAATCATATATCAGCATCTTTAATAGAACTCTGGAGAGAGCGATCCGAATTTCGTAAATTTCCAGGCAAAAATTCTCCAATTATTGAGGGTCTCCATGGGGGGTTCCAGAACTCCTTAACAAAAAAGAGCTGGAGGGTATTAATCATATGGCTGGTGATAGTTCCCCATACCTATCCTATGTACAAAATTTGAGCGGATTTGGCCGACCCCCATCTTCCGACCACTGCCTGGTTTTCTCATGCAATGACTCTTAAGAAGGTTCTGAAACAACACTGCTGACCTCTGACCTTGGCCTGGCTTAACGACATTGATTTACGGTAAACGATTTTTTTTTGACGCTTGGTTGTTTTGTAACTTTATGTATAATTGTTTCATTGTTTCCATAACTTGTTGTGACAGGGCATTCCTGAAAAGCAGTGTTTTTAAATAGCACTGAGGTTTCTACCCTGTTTAAGTAAAACAGAAATAAATAAATACCTTGTCAGCAGACACAGCAGATGGCGTACCTCCTTCCTGACAGCTGGAGTCCCACGTTTTAAGTTGAAGGACATCACTTCTTGCACAAGACCCTGAAGTCACATGGAGGACATCCAAAACACTTTAAGTCCCAGTTCAGTTTGGTTCAGTTCATCCTCAAATGAGGTGCCCCTCAGTATGCCCCTCCACACACTCTGGTCACGCATGGCGGCCAGCAGGTTACAGTCACTTATTGTCCCAGTTTCTCATTATCAAAGGTTTCACAGCATACATGTACAAATGTATATTCACATTGAGTCTCTGGGTCACACAGTTTTGTTAATGAGTGTGAACACTTTGGACACAAAACAGGTATGAGGTGATATGAGGAAGATCAAGTGATTTGGTCAAAAATATTAATTCTTTGAGTCAGAGAACAGTTAAATGTTTCTCATAAAGTACATGTATAATTAATCTATTCTCCTGTTATTTACTAAGGACTGCCAGGGTATCATTAATGACAAACTGAGGTTTTGCTATTAAAGGCATCCAATGCAGTTTGTAGGGCTTAGAGACCTGGATTTTTAAAGCCAATATTCTAGCGATTTACCTACACGCTGAGTTGAAACATTGACGTCATTGACGTCATCATCGCTTCACGATGGACATCCAAGAGGGGGAAGAAGAGTTGAAACAACACTATGCCAATGTATATTGACCCTCATGGAGCAAAAATTCCCAAAATTCTGACAGAAAATAGTTGCTGGAAGGGCCCTTGGCTGATTTTAAGGGTAACACCCAGAAAATAAAGGACTCATCTTGGGGCTTGTTTCTGCAGTTTTAAAAGGCCAATGTATGAAATGCTGACTCAAAGGTGCCAATGTGAAGAAGTTTGTGTCAATATCACAAAGATTGGCTTGTTCAGAATATTTCCAGTTTTGCTGCCCAGAGATCGCATTGGATACCTTTAAAAACAGGTCATCAGTCTCAGCAGTTTATAGGAAAAGTATTCACAGTTGTAAAGTATTCACAGTTGTAAAGGCTGAGCAGCAATGGTGTCCTCCCACACCACAGCAGCAGCTGCTGACACAGGAGCAGGAGAGACATGACATGGCTCTTACCTGGCTGACCAGGACTCCACTGTTGAAAGTCTCTGTGGCCAGAGCACGCAGCAGAGTCACACACAGCTGGACTGCAGCTGAAGAACAGCCGTAGCAACGGCTTTTCTGAATTTCCCTGTCAATGAGTAGAACATGAAAATAATGTTGAAGGTCAAGTTGTAAAAAACATGCAAACATGCATGATAAATTAAACATCTATAAATGACATTAAAAATTCAACAAGGCTTGGTCGCATGACTACAATGTACATAGGAACACTTTTGCATGTCGGCAGAACGTACTGCACCTGCCCATGGACTGTCTCCAGTCTCAGGACCTGATGGAGGAATCTAAGGTTACAAAATTAATGTGATGTACACTTTACATGTAGATACCAGCACTATAACTAAGAAGGCAGCAGGACATACCTGGTCCATGGGTGTGGTGATATTGGTCGGGAGGGGAAACATGAAGTCATCTGACTCAGATGGCTGCCCTCTGCCTGGAACTCATCATAGCCCAGCAGCTTTTCTCTCAGAGCCATGACTTTCTGTAAGGAACGTGTCAACAACTATATTAAGGAACATTATAGATAAATTAAATAGTAATAAAATACTAAACCACATACAAACACAACCAAAGCATACATGTAGCTTTCTAAATTATAGGTGAAGGTAAAGACCTGTATGCCAAATGTAGATTTTAAAAAAAGGAAACAATTCACAATGACATACAAATGTCATGGTTTTTGGTTTTAATGCCATGGCACAGGTAGCCAAAATATACAATTTAAGTTTGAAAACAAAAAACAATCTCAAAATCCCCCCCCCCAAAAAAAATAACTCACTCTACATTGTACCTCCATGCCAAAATTCAAGTCGTTTTTGAGACAAATCTTTTGATCAAAACCATTTGGCAGGAAAAGAAGAGGAAAAGTCTAGAACGACAACATATCCCCCCCCCCCCGGGAAAGTGTGGTATGGAGACAGTGAACTTTAAAGACATGTGTCCCCTCTATGACTGATGTAAATTTTAAAACAACTCAAATCAATAGAAACCAGATTTACCTGGATGATCTTGCTGAGTTCATCGAAGGCAGTCTTACAGTCGGTGCAGTACCTGTGAGCCAGCTGCTGGATGATCTTACTAACAGAACTGGAGCTGCTGCCTCCTGAACTGGGCTCCTCCTGGAATAAAAACAAAGTACAAAATTTATGTATAATAATACATTTCTTCAAATAGAACAAGCAATGAGGCAAGAAATCTACAAGTCCTCCAAAATAGAGCTGCACACCAGACTCAACTGGAAATACCTGACCCAACGGAGAAAGGACCACATTTGTGTCATGGTTTTTAAACGTATCAACTGGCTTGTCCCAACATACTTGGATGCCACATTTGTACATAATCACCGGTTACATAACTACAACACCAGACAGACCTCACTACTGCACAAACCTAACTACACAACTACAACAGTGTTACCACACATTTGCTTTCCGAGGCACGACACACTTCAATACACTTCCAGCAGACCTAAGACATAAACCTACTCTATCTCAGTTTAAAGCAGGCTTGAAACATACATGTATGTCACATGAAACCTGACCTCTGACCTCCATGCCTGGATTTTCGTGTTTTTTTACCTTTGAACAGCTAGGACTTTGAGTATAGGACTATGACTCTGTTTTGACGCATCAGACTTTTATGTTTACTGTATGTTGTCTTACTGTATGTAACAATGTCTTGTGTAATTTTGCTGGGCCCCCTTGGAAAACAGCTAATGTAAGCTGAATGGCTACCCAGCCGTCCGAAGATGAAATAAATTAAATAAATAGAAGATAAATACATGACAGGGCTTGAAATACCAGTCTTGTACAATCATGTACAATCATGTACTCATGCAAGACTGTCACATTGTACATTGTATATGACAGTCTTGCATGCAGACTAGAGCTGGTAAAAATGGAGTTGCGCAATATGTCTACAATCATGTACATGGACCTAATGTGCACCGGCCCATAATATATTATGTTTATGAAGTTCAACACTAATTCAAAGGTGACATACAATACATTGTACAATACAATATACAGCCCTACTTCAGGTGAAAACCACCCCTGCTCTAGCTGTGTGACACGCCCTGTTTGAGTTGTGAGACTTGCGAGGCCCACACTCTTCCCTTTAGACTTTACAATGGATTGTTCCTTAATCATGTTAAGAGTGCATGATGATGTCTTAAGGGGTAAGACATACATTTTTGTCACAGGTAAAATCAATTCTAGTCAAGATACATGTAGGTCATCTGGTTAATATGTGGATCTTTACCATCGAACCAAAGACAGGCCAATCTGTTCATACATGTACCATCTGGAGTTACTGTTTGACAAAAATACCCCAGCTAGTAGAAGACCCAAACTTATGCAAACCCAAACTACCAACTATCAATTTAGTACAGTAGCCGTACCATCTTAAGATCAAATGATACCAAACCGGGAGCTTCTGCTGCAGTACCATAACAAGCGCTAGAGGGCCCATAATCGAACTTGTCCTGCGGAGCCCAACAATTGTTGTTTTGCACAATCACAAAGTACCATCTATTTACAGCACCCTGTATTTAGGTACAACTTGGAGGTATTTTTTGTGCAACACAATGAATTCGGAAGTAACTACGCCACCGCAGGGCAGAAAAAGTTGGGGGTCTATGGCCTAATTAAGACAGGAATTATTCTAAATAATTTGTGTAAAAAATATCAGCAGGACAAGGGTTAATGTTTGCCAACACCTAACCACATAGTAGATGAAGACAATCCACCCATGCGTTCACAGGGACAAACAGAAGAACAACACTCAGCACTTATATTTATACACATAGCCTCTGAGTCAGTAAATACTAAAATTCAGCCATTTAGGATGCTATTAGTTTTAAGTTACAAGAAGAAATAAAACTAGGATTAATCAGTCTATCATCAGAATGCTAAAAGGCTCTTACTGTTACACTAGTAACACTTTCCATTGTTTTAAATTGTTTTTTCCCCTCACCATGGCAGTGTCTCCTGGATGTCCGTAAGTCTTGGCCAGCAGACCCTCGATGGCAAGTCTGTGGGCCTTCAGCTGGTGGTAGATACGATCGGCCTTGTCCAGCAGACTGTTGATAGTACTGATAGCCTAGATGTATCAGGGACAGACAACAACAATAGTGTCAAAGTGTTCTGTCATTATATAACTGGTGGAAATTAATGATAAAAGTGAACTTTTTTGACTGGTGTAGATTTTTTAGTGATAACCACATTTACACACTTAATGTTTTTCCTTCTGTGAGTCAGAGCATCCCATACTGCCATTACCTTCTTGCGATCTTCTTCGTTGTCCACAGAATCTACAGAAGTGCAGGTCTTGGCCGTCAATGTGAAGTCAAACTTGGCATATTTGCAGAAGCCACAGTTGTTGCACAGGAAGGGATCCTTCTCATCATAGTTGATAGACCTGCAGGAAGTACATGTACACGAGATTGTTCATGTGTTCAGGACTCAATACAACAAGACTGCATTTTAACCTCATCCTACATTGCGAACTATAAGGATTTGCCTTGACCCACTTCATGCAGTTATTGTAGGACTAGGAGGCTGAAATTGTACATAATAATATTAAATATGTTGTCTATAGGTCACGATACATTTTTACTTATGAACTCTTCACAGTTTCCCTTTACATGTACATGTGTTCAGGACACTGCTAAAGCAGTGTGAAGTGAGAGTATGCAACCAGTTGAATTCAGAACAGTCCGCAGGGTCCAGAATTTGCTGGGCTGCTCAAATGACTTGTAGACTAACTGCCCATTGACTTACAACAACAACAAACAAAATGTGGCACAGTTATTATGAATAATGTGTCAAGTTTAGATTTTTTAAAAACTAAGGTCATACAACAATGTACGAATGAAGCGTATGGTAAAATCTGGCTCGTATATAACCAAAGTTATGTGAAATTTCACCTGTGCCGGAAAGTGACTTTGTCATGATTTTAAAACTTAATGAACGTCTTCAAGCTGAAATGACCCAAAGGCCTACATTTGTACAACATAACTTAAGTTAGATACAGACTGGTGTAAATATACTAAGATGCTACAACATGTATCAGATCTAATTCCTTCCTTCCTACCGGCATTTGTGACACTGGAACACATTTTCCCCACAGTTGCTGCAGACCCCGGGGTTGGCTGGTACAGAGGCGCTGCAGCGGGGACACTGGAGTGTCTCAGCCGAGGCCTGCAGGTTGTCATAGAAGTCTGCATACTCTATCATCAGGTTGGAGGCAGTGATGGGCAGCAAAAAGTCCACCTGAGATAAGAACATGATCACATTATTCCTGATCCAGCAGGACAAGCTTATATAATAAAATGATAATAATAATGATAATAATAATAATGATAATAATAATGTTTTTCATAATAATAATGATAATTATAATGATGATAATAATGATGATAATGATGATAATAATGATAATAATAATGATAATAATAATGATAATAATAATGATAATAATAATGATAATAATGATAATAATGATAATAATAATAATAATAATAATAATAATAATAATAATAATAATAATAATAATAATATTAATAATAATAATAATAAGTATTAATAATAATAATAATAATAATAATAATAATAATAATAATAATAATAATAATAATAATAATAATAATAATAATAATAATAATAATAATAATAATAATAATAATAATAATAATAATAATAGAGGCTGAATTGCATGGGAGCTGTTTCCATGAGTTTCATTAAAACAAAGGCATAACCATTATCTCAAACATAAAAAATACATTTACGAACAGGATAAAATTAATGAAGCATAAACAGCCTCATAAGCGGATTAAAATGAACAGGTGTGATTATTTTACAGTAAATACTGTTCAGTTTGTGGGATGTTCGAGTTTTCCTGCCACTTATTTCCTCTCGTGATGGCGGTAGGGGATTTCTGTACAGATTCTAAAGTTCCTCAGTACAATAATTATGACATTCTTACCTTGACCTCTGTCTGGCCAGGTGACAGGACAACCTTCTTTGCCCTGTGCCACATACATTGTCTGTACAGGGGTAGAGAACAGGAGTTACTCTTCTTCTATCATGATAAGTACATGACGTATATGGGCAACAAAATTAATTTTGCTATATATCCTAGACTAGTCTACTGAAAGACATAGTACATAGCTCAATAAGCTGGACTTGTGCAAGTGAGGATATTCTCATTACCATAATCAACATAAACTACATTAATCTAGATCAATCTAGATTCCTAGGGTAAGTTAACCTCTCAAAAAAATATTCTAACTTGTACTTCTGGGTACTTTGCAAAGTTAAACATGAAGTTCCAAACTGACAAACCAGTCTGGTGAAGGCAACTTTATACTATAACTAGTCGAGTAATGAAAAAAAAGAGTTCCTAGTAGGAATTACAAATGTACCTGTTTTTGAGTTCCACAATACTTGGCACAGTTCGGTTGTTGTAGTAAATGTGGACTGTTCGCACCTGAAATGTGAACAATAGTGTGATCTTAGCATCTTTAATAAAAATAATTGGTGTTTTCTTCATATCAACAGTACACAATAGTGTAGTTTTAAAAAACGACCATTGTTGCAGAAAATACAATCCTGTCGGAACTGCGCTCACACATGCAAGTTTTCACCCACTAGCACGCACTAGCACACACACACACACACACACACACACACACACACACACACAAATAACAGACACTCAGTGAGATAACCATGCAATTAACTTCACTTCCTGGGGCATATCTTTGTTGGGAGTAGTACACTGTTACATTTTTCCTGCATGACTTTGCCATGTTATGTTCCATCAACCCACAATCCACTGATGCCAACTATCATTTCAACACTGGTGAAGATTCTTAGCTTGGCAAGTCTTGCACTCGAAACTAACCAGTTTAACTTATAGTTACAGTTACAGTAACTGTAATTATATTTTTATACTATTAAGTTACATTCAATTTGATTTCCTGTAGAATCTTCACAGTGCCTATATCCAGTTCTTACCATTTTAGTCCTCTTCAGGTCTGTTAGTCTGACAGCGATCTTGGAGATGATGTGAGGTGAGAGCAGCTTGATGATCTGGGTAGTGGTGGTGAAGCGGGAGTCCACCTTCACAGCAGAGAGTTTCACACTCTGGAAAACAAGTTCAGTACATGTAACTTCATAACAAAGGATTTCTGGGAACTGGAGAAAAACATAAAACACCCTCCAGTTTAAATTGGGACTGACCTCCCATATCTCAGCGACACACACCCAGTTGGACTGAAATCACACACTATAGATGTACTGGGTAAAATGATGAAATCAGAAATGACCAAAACTAATGGATATGTACCATGAAAATTCTCAATGACATGAATAAACAATGGTTCAACCAAAATTTTTTATTGCTTGCAACTTATTTCTAGTTAATAATAATCATTGAAATGTATGTTTAGAAGAGGAATGTCAAAATCTGATTACAGTAGTGTTATACACTGTCAACAATCGGAACTAAATGTACATCATTCTGTAAGGATTTTGGACACTGAACAAGACTATTTCCTGAGAGGGGTGAAGGAAGCCATATACATCAGGGCCCATCACCCTACATTGAACCGCGACGGGGGCCGGCATCGTCTACCAGATACCTTTGACCCAGTGTTGACGTCACACTTCAAAGAAGCCACGTGACAAGCTTCACTGGGTCAGTCTACTGAGGAAGACAGGGTGACTGGTTGAAAGCTCTAGGTGAGAGAATTTTTTTATGTTGGACCAAAAGTTTTCTGTTGATTATTAGTTTAATTATAATTCTATAAGACAGGAAGACAGCAGTATCCTCACCACAAACGGCATCTCTGGGTTGTTACACACAGCACATGGATCAGTCTCCAGGTAGAAGCCATCAAACTCCACCAAACCTGACAGCAGACTGACAAACAAAGGAAAGCGTTACATGTACATTCAACTTGTATATTATATACAAGAGAGTACATATTATTACACACATACACGTGGCTTGCAAACAGGAGGGCATACTGTAACAACCATAAAGCAGTTAAACTTATTGTGAATTTTCCACGAAGATTTTTATTTGGTGACATTAACCCTTCACTCATCATTACATATTATACAACATAAAATACCCAGGCGACATTACAGTGATGTAAAACACAATTTACGTATTCAAGATGAAATAAAATATACTTATCTCCTAAGGAAAAGACATAGAAAACACACAAGTCACTGATGTATAATAATACATGTAATTTGTAACATTTCCAAATATGACGGACATACACGTAGGTTGACTAATAACCTCTACAGAACATTGTTCACATGGCAGACACAGATTTCTCAAAAATCATGAACAGATTTAGATTTACTTCCTTGTACTAGTAGGTAGAAGTTGGCCCAAGGAAGAAGTGATTTGCCATGCCAGGTTCTAAGTTTCTAAGCCTGAACAAAAATCAACAGTAGGGAGTTTGTCTTCCTTTTACAGAAGTCATTGCTTTTGTGCA